TGCTAACTTACTAAAAAAAAAAAAAAAAAAAAAAACCAAAACACATAGAAAATACTTAAAATCATTAAGGTGCTCTTGAGGTTATCGGTCAGTCTGAAATAAACTCTTTCTCATAAAGGTGAATTGCCTCTTTGGGTTATACCACCTTAACAAATTAATTCTGTTTATAAATTTCTCTGCAAAATTGGTAACTCTTTATTCATCAGCACCTTTGTTGTACAAGTTGACATCAAAATACAGTTATTTTTCTGCATGTATACACACAAACACTATACATATTCATTTGTGTATAAATAAGGACAAATCTAAAAATATGCATGTAAACTGAGACTTCATTAATAAAATCTTACTAAATAGTTTAAAAGTTTTGAAACGTTTGCCAGACACAACAACAAAAATTAGGAACACAACAGAAAAACTAAAAATAGAAACATAGCTAAGTGTAGCACTCGAAACAGAAAGGATCCTATAAAATTACTGTACAATTAAGGTAGCAAACAATCTAAGGAATTCATGCTCTATTTTCAAAACCAAAAACATCCCATGCAGGAAAAAAACAACCAGTTACAGAAATCTGGACTCTATTAGAAAGGAGTTCTCTATTCCGCCCCTATGTTTCATTTACAAGTTAATATAATCCGATGGAAGAAATGGAAAATATTTGCAAAAAAATGTGGTTAAAGAATGTAGCAATTAAAACCTTTTAGACTATCGGTGTTAAGTCTAAAAATAACCCAGCATATAGCAATACTAACCCTGTCAAATGGGAATATTTGTCAGGCTCAGCTGTTCCCAAGTCCTAAGCACATTGTCAGGAGGCAATGAATAAACAAGTGTTTATGAGTTCCAATTAGGCAGCATGTTAATACATCTACATTGGATCATTTTATTTCACATGTAATTTTAAACTAGCTCCTGTTTTTTCCTAAAAAAATAAAGGCAAACTTTAGAGTGAGCAATACAAAATTCTGGGTTGGTAAAATTTGAAGTAATGAGGTCATAACTTTTTAAGTGATAATTCATGTTCTAAAAAAGGAATATCAAGACTATCACTCTTCAGCTGGTCATATACATATATATGTGTACACACACACAGATACACACCCCGCCCCAAAATGATGGCACATAACAAACAGAGGCTGCCTTAAAAGACCTGAAGCTATCAATGCAAATGCAGACATGCCTTCTGAGCTCATTGTTCCGTAACTAAAATTACCTAAAAAATTATTGCCCAGAGTCTTCCTAGAAATGTTGAGCTTTTCTTAGAAACTGGTTAATGTTGAACAGATTCAAAACCAGGAATTTAGAGCAAATCACCTATAAAATTTATTTTATTTTTCAAGTCCAGTGGTAAATACTGTTTTTTACATTTACATTTTAGAATGAAAATGTCTGTATCATTTATTATTCTGGATTAAAAGATCTGAGTTACTGAGTCTGGACCTGTGAGTGGCTGGCTTTGCCTCTCTCAGTAAGACCAGCAGTAACTAAGGAGTTTCTCTCTACAGAACTTCTAAACAGTGGTTGCTAATATGTTGCCCAGGATATGTCTAGGATCCACGTAGATCTTCAATTTTCAGATGAAAATTTCAATTTCAGAAAGTCTAGTTCGAATCTGATGGAATTATACCAACTCAGAGTAAATTACTAATCCTCTAACTATTACTGAAGTGTTGATTAATATTTTTATCTGTCTTTCTTTGCTACCCAATAGAAACAGGAAAACTTCCTTTCACTGGTGGATAAAATCTTTCAAAAATGAGGTTTACAGGTGAAAATTAAAAGCGGTAATTGTCAATGTAAAAGACTGGAAACTACTGCTCAAAGATCATTAAAAATAACAGAGAGGAATAAAACCATAAAAGTTATAAAAACTAGACCCTAAAGTGAAGAGCACACCAGGTACAGTGCCCCAGACATCACTGAGGCACTGTAGCAGCTCAGCCCCTCATCCAAGAGGCTTCTTTGTGTCTGAAGCCTCTTACTTCAACATAAACTCAGGTAGAATGAATATTAATCCTTTGAAATGTTTCCCCGTAGAAGATATGTCTGGTTCAAAAGTCTTTAAAAAGAATTAAATTAGAATCTGGCCTAATTCTGGAGCTACTTTTATAGCAAGATCTCTTAATTTGGTCATCTCTGATCCAGTCCCCTCTAAACAGCCTCTTACCTGGCCTCCCTACAATTCTTCCTCTCTCTCTTGGGCCCGTTCTTCACAGATCAGGGAACCGTAAAAACAAAAACATAAATCCAGTCACATCACTACTCTGCTCTAACAGCTTCCATGCACTTTTTTTGGGATAAAACTCCAACCCTTACATTTTCTGCAAGGCCCTGAATAATGTGACTTACTCACCACTCATTCATTTCACCCCAGCTGTGCTGGTTATTTTTCCAGTTCCTCCAAAGCTCCTTCCCACCCTAAGGCCTTTGCACCTGCTGCTCTCTTCCCTACAATGTTCTTCCCTGTATGTCTGGAACCTCCAATTAATCCTTTGGTTCTGGGCTCAGAAGTGGTTTCTTCAGGAGAGCTTTGCTCTTCACCAATCTTCTATTCCCTGCACCCTTCTGGCCTCCCATTATTTGAATGTTTCCTTCATCATACTTATTATAACTGCAATTAAGTAACCATGTGTTTAATGCCTTTTCCCAACCCTGTACTGTGAAGGTGTAATTGTGTCTGTCTCATTTACTGCTGTTTTCCCGGTGCCAGGCCTATTGCAGGAAATAAGGCACTGAAGGGAATATAATTTTGCAATGGGCACTTGTAAGAAGTAATGAAAATTAGTCTATCTTACACAAAATCATAGCTGTATCAACCACACATCACACTATAATGTTAACAAGTCTTTGTGACAGTTTAACAAATGACGAAGCCAATGAAGCAAGATTCTTCACAACTTTTTCATTCCCAAATACTCTAAACTGTTAACTAGGTTATTAAGCTGGGGGCATGTAGTGATGTTCCTTGAAAATATTCATGGAATTCAGTGTGGCAGCTAAGTTTCCTGGATGGAAACAAACTGAGACTCTCAACCAAAGCACACCAGCCTTCAAATGAATGAGCCATTCCAAGAAATTATGTCTGAAAGGCCACCCAAGAAGAAGTAATATGAAATGCAACCAGTGTTCTCTTGAACTTAGCCAATTCACTTCAAATGAAATAAATGCTTGATGGATGGGTAAGAACGCACAAAAACAAGAAAAAATTCAGGAGCAAGCTGTGAGATGAGGATTTCCCAAGATGATTATGACTTTGGAAAGTGTTACTTTATAAAGAAGTTCCTGATTAAGGTGGATATTTCGAAAAAATCTTTGGAAGCTAAGCGTCATCTAAAATAGTGACAGAGCCATTTTAAATCTGGCATAGATGTATATAAGTCTACAATATACTGATTGTGGTATCTGAGATGATTGTCAATTCTTAAGAAACTCTAATAAGGGCATTTAGGTTTCCGTGGATCAAAAGCTCCATAATTTAAATATCCAATGTAAGAAACTTTTTTTGTAAAGAGGAGATACTTATTTTCCAGAAACCTTTAACTCAATAAATAACAAAGACAGAAAGGGGAAAATATGAAAACACAAAATAAATAATTTAACCTGATACTGCGACCAAGAAACTTAAGAAGAATAAGAAGCAAATTAATTATTATCTTCTATCCTCTCACCCATCAACCCAAGACTTTCACAAAGTAAAACCGAAAGGATGGAAAGCTATCATTTCACTCTGTGTTTTCTACCTTACTCTTCTGATGGTGGCAGGCGGGGCAGGAGTGGGGAAAGTGAGATGTGTGTGTGTGTACAGTAGTCAAAGGGGGGAAACTAACATTTGTCTTCTGCCTACTATGTTATGTGCCTACAGACACTAAACATGTATTATTAGATGTAGTCCTCACAACTAACCCATTTACAGATGAAACTGACAGAGGTGAAATGACTGGTCAGAGGTCACCTGCTTAGTACACAGCAAAGGCAGGCTTTGATTCCAGGGCTAGCTAGTGCCCCTTCTACAACACCACACTGCCTTAGTTTTCCTAGTTCTGTCAAATATATTAATTGTTCATTTAGCATAACATTTCCAGTTCTTTTCTTTCCATTATTCCATTCAAATGAGTTTTCTTTTTCACTCTGAGGGATTTTATTAGTCTTGAAACGTTGTTCCATAGCTTAGAAATTAAGGGAAAGTAGACCTTTTTTCACACAGAACAGCTCTCCTCTCTCACACTCTTACTGAAACTTTAATGAGGCAGATAGTGTATATCTATTTCACTTAATAGCCTTGCTTTTAATTCCCCCCCCCTCAGATTCTAAATATTAACAATCTAGAAAATATCTCATGTTTATCTTGCAGTGTCTCAGAGAGCACTCCCCAGGTTACTCCTGGTGCTATGCAAGTCTCTTCTTTGAAAAGAATGGTAATATGGTTTTTAACACAGTAAGATGAAGTGGTAAACTGTGGATAATAAAGCTTTAAATTGATACATTTCAGTAACTGATAGATTTTTTTTTTTTTTTTTTTCGGTACGCAGACCGACCTCTCACTGTTGTGACCTCTCCCGTTGTGGAGCACAGGCTCAGCGGCCATGGATCACAGGCCCAGACACTCCACGGCATGTGGGATCTTCCTGGACTGGGGCACGAACCTGTGTCCCCTGCATCGGCAGGCGGACTCTCAACCACTGCACAACCAGGGAAGCCCCACTGATAGATGTTTTAAAGTTATTATCATTTGTGTTCCAATCTTATAAAGGTGGAAAACTTAATATTTCTTCTACTAAGGAAAGGTAGGTATATAAAAAGACTTTATATAAAGTTAATATACTTAATTTTTAAAATTCTGAAACCGATCTAATTTTGTCAGATTTATGTATGTGGTATTAACTGTTCAGTCTTCCTACTCTATTCCAAACTCAGATAACAGGTACTCAAAGAAAACACTGCATTTTTGTTTTCAGAAACTGTAAAATGTGGGAATCATGATATAAAGTGAAAATTACCTTGCTTATCTATAACCGAGTATGAAGCCAAAAATCCTCGTCCAGAAACATGAATTCCACTCATGAACAGCACTGTAATTTCATTGCTTTTTGATTCAATTGAATGGTTCATTTGCAACCCCAGACCGCAGTATTTGCCTAGGAATCAAAGAAAAGCAGATATTTGGTGTGATTCATGAAGTCAATAATATTTACAATGTAGGTAAAAGAATCATAATAATATACCAAGCTGGGCATTAAATTAATCTAAAATGACTAGAATGTTTAATGATGAAAAACTCACATTACTCTGGAGAGAAAAAAAATTCCAAGTGATCACTGTTCAAATGATTCAAAAGGAAAAACAGTGTATGGAGGCATCACTGACCTTATAATGACTCAATTTCCTGTGAAATATATCTATACTCTTTAAAACTGTGACAAGGAATTTTTAAAAATTAACTTAAAACATTTCATGCAGGCAGGTGGCTCATAAGTGAATTGACAGTCAAGCAGTAGTATTCTTAACATGTTCCCCAAGGGGGAACAGATTCTTGAGCTCTGGGCACCCCTCAAACCTTTTACAGACCTTCTCAAGTTTTCTTCCAGGAATTGTTGGACTTCTGTCAACCCCTTTAGGTGATCATATCTAGTCCTACAGCTTTAACTATGATATGATAATTCACATTTATACCTTTACATAGCCTTTTCCTTGAACTTCAGATGCACGTATCTAACTGCCTACCAACTTTTATCCTTTAATGTCTAACAGACATGTAAAAAATAACATTCTCCCTCAGTACAGATCTAAATTTATTAAGATAAAAGGGCAGAAAAAAAAATTAGAGCAAGATATCCACCAATAACTAATAAAAATGGGTTTTTCTTTTTCTTTTTTTTATTCCCAAATTTCAGCCATTTTTTTTCATCTTTTAATTCCTATGGGGTTCATCAATTCTTTATCAGTTAACATTCTCATTGACAAAGACCAAATTATATTAACTATAGTTATATATAACATATCAAGAGAGTACATGGGAAAATCAGAACACAAGACTTCATCAGCTAAATAGAGCTCAACTCAGTTTGCTGTTATGGAGACAAACAAGATAAATACATTGAAGCATAAACAAAATATCACGCTCAGAATAACAGCATTCCAGAAGGAAACGGAAAGCTGAAGATACAATAAAGGTCTCTAATTTACAATACGTATAATTATATAATTTATTAAAATCAACACAATTCATGTACAAATTATTAACATGGCAGCCATTAAGTTTGTTAAGCACTTCAAATACTGAAATGTTATAACAGTAAAACTACACTAAGCAACTTTTGCATCAAGGGATCTAATCTAGCACTAGTTCAGGTTGAACGTTCACTCTCCGAAGTATTTCTTCAGGCATGCAAAAAACAGGCCTAACAGGTTTAATCTGTTCTTCTCCCAAAAGTGACAATCCAGCAATTCCAAATAGAGCGTGAAAAGGATCTACCATATCTCCTGGCCTGTCCGCAAATCCTCCCGTTTCTTCATCTTGACATGCTAAAATGAAACTGCGCAGTTTCTCTCTGTCAATCCAATGAAGCCTTCCAATTATCTTTAGGGAAGCCAACACCCACCAAGAATAGCATACATCTGGTAACTTCTCTGGCCATCCATTGAGTCCACCTGATGGAAGCTGTCCTTCACAAAGCCACTAACCAAGTAAATCAGAATTTACTCGATGCAACTGACTAGTAATAGCCAGGAATCCTGCCCAGCATGGGATTCAGAACCTGGCCTGCAACCAAATCCACCATCAAAGTTCATACATGATAAAACAAATTCGATTGCCTTTTCCACATTAATAGCATCCAGCTTCCCCAATGGAGCCAAAGTTGCCACCGCACAAAAACAGAATCTTGTGTTGATTTCTCCCTATTATATAAAAGTAGATTTTCACATCCCATGAAGCAGCTGGACTCTCCTGCCTGCACTGTATTCAGCCCTCATCTTTTAGACTGGCCCCCTCTGTTCCAGTACTCCTGTATGTTGATATAACTAGCACAGTGCATGCTGGAACTTCCAGCAGACGATTAACTCCAGTTAGACCAGCAGCTTAGTGGGACCCCAAATATCTCCAGCGAAAGAACCATCTTCTTTCTGTAGACTCTGAACATATTCCACAACTTTATTTACATCAATAACATGAATACTATCATAGAGTAAGAATCTGGACAGCACTAAGAGTGTACAAAAGATGAGGATCATGTCCAATACTAGCACTTATTCCACCACACTCATGTTGACAAGACTTAATAAATGTCAGAATTTCTTCTCTATTCATGCGATGTAGCTGTCCCATGAGATTCGTTACAGTCAGACCCCAACAGATGCCACTTATTCTCAAATATTCAGACATACGGTATTCGTAACCATCTTTGAGCCATAGGATGCTATATAATCTGCATGCTTCTCCACTAATAGGGTATCAGGTGCATCTGACTTGATAATAACATCCTTCTGCGCTGTGCCCATGTCTGAGACCAAAAAGGGCAAAAATGGGTTTTTCTTATGTGCCTGGTAACTTTAACAAATTCTGAATAAAAAGTTCTAAAAATATTTTAAGTTGAACAACATCACTTGAATAAGAGTAATGTGAACTTCCACAGATATCATTTTCAAGGACTATACATTTTCATGTGAGTAGAAAATGCTAAATAATCAACCAAAACCCCCCACCAGAACTGGTAAGGGAGATAAGGTCACAAGGTCGATATACAAGTCAACTGTACACAATAACCTAATCAAAATGGGCAGAAGACCTAAATAGACATTTCTCCAAAGAAGACATACAGCTGGCCAACAGGCACACGAAAAGATGCTCAACACTACTAATTACGAGAGAAACGCAAATCAAAACTACAATGAGGTATCACCTCACATCTGTCAGAATGCTATCATCAAAAAATCTACATATAATAAATGCTGGAGAGGGTGTGAAGAAAAGGGAACCCTCCTACACTGCTGGTGGGAATGTAAACTGGTGCAGCCACTACGGAAAACTGTAAAATAGAGCTACCATATGATTCAGCAATCTCACTCCCGGTAACATATCCAGAAAAGATGAAAACTGTAATTTGAAAAGATACATGCACCCCCCTCCCCCTGCCAATGTTCATAATATAGCAGCACTATTTACAATAGCCAAGACACAGAAGCAACCTAAGCATCCGTCAACAAATGAATGGATAAAGAAGATGTGGTATGGGACTTTGCTGGTGGTCCAGTGGTAAAGAATCCACCTTCCGATGCAGGGGACACGGGTTCCATCCCTGGTCGGGGAACTAAGGTCCCACATGCTCAACAATTGAGCCTGTGTGCTGCAAACTACAGAGCCCAGGCACTCTGGAGCCCAAGCACTCTGGAATCCATGTGCCCTGGAGCCCACACACCACAACTAGAGACAGAAAACCCACAGGCCACAACTAGAGAGAGAAGCCCACACGCTGCAACAAAGACCAGACACAGCCAGAAAAAAAAAAAAAAGACAAAAAAAGAGACGTGGTATGTATGTGTATGTATGTGTGTGGGGTGTGTGTATATATATATACACATACACACACACACCCCCCCCACACACACACAATGGAATATTACTCAGCCAAAAAAGAATGAAATATTGCCACCTGCAGCAAACTAGAGAATATCATACTAACTGAAGTCAGAAAGACAAATAAAGGGGCTTCCCTGGTGGTGCAGTGGTTGAGAGTCCGCCTGCCGATGCAGGGGACATGGGTTCGTGCCCCGGTCTGGGAGGATCCCACATGCTGTGGAGCGGCTGGGCCTGTGAGCCAGGGCCGGCCGCTGAGCCTGCGCGTCCGGAGCCTGTGCTCCGCAACGGGAGAGGCCACAGCAGCGAGAGGACCGCGTACCGCAAAAAAAAAACAAAGACAAATACATGATATCACTCATATGGGGAATCTAAAAAATAATACAAATGAATTCATTATAAAACAGAAACAGACTCACAGACACAGTAAACAAACTTATGGTTACCAAAGGGGAGAGAGAGGTGGGGAGGGAAAAAATTAGGAGTATGGGATTAACAAATACAAACTACTACTGTATATAAAGTAGATAAGCAACAAAGATTTACTGTGTAGCACATGGAATTATACTCAAAATCTTGTAATAGCCTATAATGGAATATAACTTGCAAACAAAAACCCTGTGAATCACTATGCTGTACACCTGGAAACTAACATAATATTGTAAATCAACTATACTTCAATTTTAAAAAAACAATTTTATTTCCATAAACTAGTGACAATCTGAAATGAAATTTTTAAAGCTAAATTTATAATAGCAACAAAAAGATTAACTATTTAGAGATACATTTTAAAAAAAGAAATTCAAAACCTGTACATTAAAATATGCAAAACACTGCTGAAAAAAATTCAAGAACTAAATAAATCAGGAGATATACCAAGTTCATGGACTAGAAGATTCAATATTGTTAAGATGTCAGTTCTCTCCAAATTGATCTACTGATTCAATGCAATCCATATCAAAATCTTAGCAGGGTTTTTTTTTTTTTTTTTTTTTTTAGAAATTAACAAGTTGAACCTAAAATGTATATGGAAATGCAAAGGACATAGAATAGCCAAAATAATTTTAGTAAAGAAGACAGCAGAGAGACTTACATTACCTGCTTTTAAACTTTCTATATAGAACTACAGTAATCAAGAGGAGTGTGGCATCATTGTAAGGGCAAATATCTACATTAATCTGAATGGAGCAGAACAGAGTCCAGAAACGAACCTACTTACAACTATCAACTGATTTCTGACAAAAGTGTCAACAGAGAAAGAACAGTCGTTTCAACAAATGTACTAAGCCAGTTGGATATCGATATGAAAAAACAACTTAAAACTTCACAATATATACAAAAATTAAGTCAAAATGGATCATAGATTTAACTCTAAGAGCTAACCTTATAAAACTTTTACAAGACATAAAAGAAAACTTTGTGACTTTGGGTTAGGCAAGGATTTCTTACATTCAACACCAAAAGCATAATCCATTGAAGAAAAATATTAATAATTAGGATTTTTATCAAAATTTTAAATGTTTGCTCTTTAAAAGACACCATTAAGAAAATGAAAAAAAACGA